GTGGGGGTGAAGGCATGCAGCCCTCCCAAGGAACAGACCAGGCAGAGCTTACCTGGAGTGGTTCTGTCTGCAGGACTCATTGTTATCAACTCAGGTGCTCCTACACCTCCACAGCTTGAGCTCCAGCATCCTGCACAAAGGAAGGCCTCAAATAGAGTCATTACCTGATTGTGATGATGTAATTAAAAAGCTCCGGTTATTAGGAAATAATGAATAAACCTTGTTTTGCCTTTTAAAAAGGTTTGCCACGTTTCAACCTCTTGATAAGAGAAAGCAAAGGGGAGACAGCCAGTATGTCAGTTTCTTTATATTCATCATCCATGAAAGCACAGCCCCTGGAGTGCCCTAAAGCACATTCAAAGACCTTAAGCAACAAAATTAAAGCAGAACTTATACTTCATTATAATACTCTATGACCTGCACTCCATATTAACTTCCATCTTCTCCCTTACCAGCTATTTGTGATCTTTCCAAAGGTCTCTTGCTCCCACCACGACATAAATAAATGAGCCTGCACTGTCCTAGCAGGCATGGGGTTGCTGCACTACAGCAGTGCAAGATGGTGTGTTACACCTCAGCCTGTTCCCAACTCATCCCAGCTCTCCTGAGGACCCGCCTGAATCACACTGCAGGAGCTCTGCACTGCACTGTTCATCCCAGAAGGTGACTGTGCTGTCCTGGAGGAATAAAACAGGGTATGAAAATTAGGCGTAGATTAATGAACGGAAGAGGCAAAGGTCATCAAGTGCTCGTGCTCAGAGGACTGGAGATCAGGAAGCAGGTTGTATTTGCCACTGAAGCAATTTCAAGGCATTTTCTGAGGAGCTGTTATCCAAGTTGTCTGCTTTTTGAAATATGATCAATCCAGAGATGTTAAGAAGAGCTTTCCTGAGTGAAGTACCTACAGCTGAATGAGTTCTGATAGCCCGTGCATTTGTGCTGGCTGAAGACAGGTTGCAAAAGTGTTGTATTCCTCTACAAAGGGTGTTGCTGACCACCATCCGTTAATTTATTTTCTCTTGGCTCCAAAAATAACAGAAAAGAAAAAAAAAAGTACAAATGTATCTTGCAATCACAAACAGCTCTTGGTTTGTGCTGCCCTGTGCTGGAGCTGCCAACAGTAGCAAAGCTGCTCTGCTCACTTAGCCCTGCCAGAGGAGATGTTTGTCCAGAACAGGCACTCACACAGCAATATATTTCTTGTTGCTGTGGCTGATTCTGAAGGTTCTGCAGTTGTCCCCGAGTCCTTCAGGGGAAAAAAAGCCCAAATCTGGATTTTCTGGTTTTCGGATGCAAGTAGAATTGTTTGTGTAGAGACAGAGATTAATTTTTAAGCCTTCTCTGTACATCACAAAGAAGCAAAGATAAACAGACATTGATGTTTAATAACTACTCTTTTTTTTTTTCTTTTCTATTAGAAGCAATCTTTGCAGTCCTGGTTTAAGACAACATAACACTTGACACTTGCTTAAATCCCATTATGCCAGGTGCATTGAGTGCCATTCATTAAGAGCCCTTTTCCCTGACCACACAGCACAGGACATTGCAGGAGGCTCACACAGGCTGATCCCCAACAGCTGCTGGTATCCCTGAGCCTCAGGTCAGATGCAAAGATCCACGGCATAAAGGAAATCCCACCACGTGAAGGAAATTCCAAGGCACTGCAGCAGTGCTGATGCTTGGCTCTGGCTTTCAGCAGTGCTGCTGAGGATCCTTGGTTCTCCAATCCAGGTGGTACAGATAAACAAAGCCCTCTCACATTCTGCAACACAAGCCAGAGGAAGCAGCTTGTTGGTAACTGTTTATTTCATGCAGTACTTCCCTCTGGGTTGCTACAGACCAAATGGTTTCAGGTAGTTTTTAGCAGCACAACCACCAAGAACCTCATTCAACTTTCGTTGGTTACACTAACAATGTATGGGACATAGAAGGCTTTTCTGCAGAAATGCTGTCATCTTCCTGAGCCTGAAGAAGAGTCAGTGGGAGTTGTGTCCATTTCCTGAGTGATCCCAGCACCGTGGCTGGGATGGCTGGAAACAGACCCCAAATTTTCCTGCTTCCTTACACTGAAGGGCAGCACTCCCACACTGCACCTCGTGCCAGGTTTGCATCGCTCTGCTGGAGTGCAGGTCTGCATTGCTTCTGGCAGAACCCACCAAGTTTATGGGCACCACCTGAAAAATGGGACGTTTGGGGCAGGCCATGCCACCATCTGTGTGGAACAAGCAATGTTTCATAACCACAAACTCTGAGACATGTGAATAGCTGCATCTGGATGGCTGAGGTCCTGGAGTTACAGCTCAACCTTGCTGCCTTTTATCTGCAAACAGCCCTCACACCCACCCCTCCCAGACTTTTGCTCACTTGTTTATCCATTGAAGGTTACTGCATTTCTCCATAGAACAAAGGAGGAGCTGTTTCCCCCTCACAGTGCATGCTCTTTGTTTCACACGAAAATATCAACACTGAAACTGAAAAATGGTGAGTGTTGCCATTCTGCTTGTTCTGACTCCGTTTCAAGGCAAGTCAGCTCTCCTGGAGGTAGAAATGCCATTGGCAGCCAGCACAGCCAAACCTCACCTTCCTGCAAAGCAGCAGAGCCACATCCAACTGCAGCTGCCCCCACACATCCCCCCTTCCTTCCTCTTTTGCTTCCCCCATAGCACTTCACCTTCCTGGTGGGAAGGAGCAGGACCTGAGATGCTGTCTCCTTCAGTTCTGCAGTGCCAACAGACATTCCTTTGCTTCGATGCAGCGCTTTATCTCCCCGTTTACTTCCTGGGTTTGTGTGGTGTGAATAATTGTAGCCACGAGGCCATTGCCTTCCTCACCTGAGGGGGTGGCAGAGCACTCAGCCTCTCAATGCATGTTACTACATTGCAATGCCATAGTTTCAAAGTCGGTGACATTTCTGCACAGGAAAGACAGAACTGCTCGGTTCAAATCAGAGCCCAGCTCTCTCATGGCACAGAAGCAGTGAGCTGCAATACTGGTGTTTAAAACAGTAGCAGTAAATCAAATGAATCGTGTATTTCTGTACATTGTTTTTGTCCCAGCCGTAAATCAGAAATATCAAGACATGTAACAGTTGGCTTGAAATCTCCTAAAAGCAGCCCACAGAGTTCCCTAAATAGCCTCACACAAAATATTTGCTTTATAGATTTTTGGTGACATAAAAAAAAAGCAGCAGAACTTCTCATGGTTTTTAAGGCTGGAAGTTCCAGATGATGGGGAAGCAATGCCCACAGTGCTCCGGGCTCGTTTATTATCTATATTAATAACATTCATTCAAACAGCTTAACTTCTGCTGCAAGTTAAGGAAAATGCTCTATAAAAAAAAAGCCTGTCCTTCAGATCTGTTTTCTTCCCCCCCTTCTTGCTCATTGTCAGGTATGAACTATATTCCCAGTGCACAGCTGAAGGCTTGCAAAACCAGCATCAGGGACTGCTGAGATTCTCTTATGCCTGCAATAGATTCCAGTACGAAAGAACAATTAACATTGAAATCAAGCCATAGCAATTCATTTTTGGATGCTTGCTCATTATTAGCTCTCTGCAGCAGGCAAGGCAGATCTGCAAGGGATGCCATAAGCTGGAAAGCGTTGCTAATACTCTGAAACCCCACACACGAGCAGCTCCCTCAGCAGAGGGTGGGGTTACTGCACAGCCACGTCTAAAGGCAGTAACGAGAGGTGTGCGATGCCCACAGAAGCACCGAATTGCTATGAGCAGCATGAGGACTGCTTGCCATTATGTGAAAGAACACTACAGCACAGCACAGCACAGCACAATGATTTTGAGAAGCTGGCTCAGTGCCAGCTTGTGAGCAAGAGATAAAATAGCTTTTCAGAGATCTGCACAATGATGGAGCCAGGAGGGGAAAGGCTGCCAAGGGATGGACTGAGCAATTCCTTCCACCACCACAGATGGGTGTGGAGAGGCAGAAAGGAGAGAGATGTGCTGAGTGGAGGCTGCTGCACCTTGAACCGCCTTCAAAATGGAGATTTGGGCACAGGCTGATATTCCATTTCAGTCAAACTCTGAGACAGAGAGAACAAAAGCCTGTTTTCTGTTTTTCTCATCCATCCTCACGCAGACAGCTACTTTTATCTGTCTTTGTGCCGCACTGGCTCTGCTTGCTTTGTGTTCTCTCTCTTGCTGTTTTCCTAGACAAACTGTTCAGTCACTCAGGAATCGATTCACTGATCTCAATTGCAACACTCAGCAGAGGAGAAAACAAGTTTGTGGCTGAGTGTTGTCTCTGCAGCAGGGCTCCAGTCCTCCTCCTCCTAGGGAAGGGCGTTTCTCTGAGGCTTCTTTCTTCTGTAGAGCTGAGAACAATAATTACATTAAGAGAAGTGCTTAAGCAGAAGTAATTGATATGGCAGCACAGTCAGACGGTTCTCCGTATGAAAAGAGAACACCTCTCCTCTCTCAGATGCACACAAATAGGCGCAGGCATGCTGTGAAGGTTTCATCATTGATACTGTTATGCGTGTTGTAGTAGGTACTATGTAGCCAAAAGATAAACACACAGCATAGATACACTCAGACACATCTCAGCACATACTACAGAATGTGTTTCAGAGTGCAGAGCCATCCACCCATCCTTTTGCTCCCATTTGTGCCAGGCGCTGTCACGGAGCCACAGACGGGCGCTGCTCTGGCAGAATCTTTGGGGAGCAGAGCTCCAACCGCTGCTCAGAGCTACGCCGGCAGCCAACGCCGAGCCCAAAACCACCGTTTCAGTGAGCTGGAAGAGGAACCAGCCGATGAAGCGTTGGGTGAGAGACCCGAGTGCACCTCCTCCGTTAGCCAGGCTGCAACACAACAAACACAGAGGGACGCACGGCTGCGCTTTGCTGCAGCGGGGAGGTGACGTCTGTCACAGCCCGGGGGGGCACAGTCGGGGGGTACACACTGCTTCCCCGAGCAGCCGAGGCTCCTTTCTTCCCCATCCCCTCCAGCTAAACACGCGGCTCCAGAAACTCTGCGGTTAAATACAAACAAAGTTGGCCCCGAGAGCCCGGCTGCCGGTTCCAACCCGTCCTCGGGGGGCGGGAGGAGGAGAGCGGCGGAGGGAGCCGGGCCGCCACCTGCCCCTCACCCGCACCTGCCGGGGAGCGCCGGCAGCGCAGCACCGCCCCGCGGGGAGGAGAAAGGAGAGAGGCGCGGCCGAACCGCCCCGCTCCGCTCCCATCGACGGAGGCGGAGGCGCGGGCGGCTCCATCACCTCGGCCCGCAGGTGCGCGCTGCCCGCCGGTCCCGGCAGCTCCGCCTCGGGGGATCGGGCGGCGGAGCGCTGCGGCGGCGGCCCCACCTGTGGCTGCGGGATGGCGGAGCTCGCCCTCGATCCCCCCGCCGTGCTGGGCTTCCTGCGGGAACGCGGCGGGTGGGTGAGCAACGCAGAGCTGCTGAGCGCCTTCCGGCCGCTGCTGGAGGCCGGTGGGGACGCGTCGGAGCGGGCGGAGCGGCGGGAGCGCTTCAAGGAGGCGGTGAACGCCGTGGCGGTGGTGAAGGAGCGGCAGGGCACCAAGTTCGTCGTGCTGCGGAGGCACCTGCGGCCCGGCCCGCCCCCGGAGAAGAGCGGAGATGGAGGTTCCGAGCCCCCATCCGAGGAGCGGCTGTCCCCGCCGTCCCTCGAGGAGCTGCCGTCGCCTCGGGCCGTGTCCGAGCTCCGCGGGCTCTTCCAGGCTGGAGGCGGCGGGGTGCCGCTGCCCGCCGGCGGGGCCAATGCCCGCAGGGAGCCGCTCCCCAAGCCCTGCATGCTGCCGGTGCGCTGCGTGCCGGCCCCGGCTGCTCCCAACTCTGCTACGGCTCCGGGGCCGTCTGAAGAGCTGGAGAACGCCGCATCGCCCTTAGCCGAGGAGGAGGACAGCGGGTGCCACTCGCCCAGTCTGCGCCGGGCCCCCAAGAACCACCGGGCCAGCGAGGAGCTGACAGAAGTGCCACTGGAGGAGGCTGAGCACCGCTGGCTGCTGATGGCGGCTGAAGGGCAGTGGTCCCAGCAGCTCCATGGGCTGCTGTTGGGTGATGCCAGCCTGGCGGCCCGGAGGGACTTCATCTTGGGCTTCACAGCCCTGCACTGGGCTGCCAAGAATGGCAACTGCGACATGGTGAGGAACATCATCGATGTAGCAGAGAAGGAAGGGGCCCACGTCAATGTGGATGCCAGGTCGCACGGCGGCTACACGGCGCTGCACCTCGCTGCCATGCACGGCCGGGACGCCGTCATCTCCGTGCTGGTCCGCAGCTACCATGCCAAGATCGACCTGAGGGACTACAGTGGGAAGAAGCCACACCAGTACTTGAAGGACGGGACCTCCGTGGCGGTCAGGCGCTTACTGGGGGACCCCACACTCCAACACCCCACGGGACCCACAGTGCCCATCAAGAAGAGCACCAAGATCGCTGCGTCCATCCTGAGCTCCACCAGCACTTTCCTGGGGGTCATCTCCGATGACATGGCTTTCTACGATCTCACCAAAGGTTTGAGGAAGCCTTCGTCCTTGAACAAGCTGCTGACTGCGACCACAGGCCCCAGGAGGAAGCCGAAAACCAGAGGGGGATTTCCTTCATACTGCTCACTCTCTGAGGTGGTGGAGGAAGAGGAGCACGAGGAGGCTGTCATGAAGCGCAGGCCAGTTTCTGAGCTGTTCTTTGGCCATTAGACTCTGCCTTCCTGGAGTCAGAATCGTTCAGTAGCATGACTGGGGAGCTTGGTTTTCTCTCACAGCAGTAAATTGGATTTCTTCTCCCTGTTTCTTTCTTTTTGGAAGTTTAAATGAATGGATGATGGGGTCTGGCTCCACAGGTCACTGGATGAAGCCCAGCTCTCAGAAGCCTGAGGAGAGGGAGCTGCCCTGTGAGCACTGCAGTGCCAGAGGCACCAGCACACCAGTGAAGACCACAGACATTACACTTGATGGCTGAAAAGCTGGAAAAACATCTGTGTGTAGACAGGCTATAAATGCTTAAGGTACAGCTTCTTGTTCTGCGTTCCTCAGCCGAAGAGCTGCATGTTTTACACTGTGAACAGCACGCTGGTAGCTGGCTGCTTTAACGTGGCTTGTTCTACAGCAGGCTGAAATTATTAGGAGAAAGATGCATAGTTTTCTATGATGATTCTGATTGTTTTGGTAACAGAAGAGGAATGTTTCTATTTTAAAATTGTGCATTTAGTTTTTTCAAAACAAAGTTTCTCACTATCAGAAATACTAACATGTCTTTATTGTTGCCTAAAGCATTTTCCTTGGCAAGGTTAAAAAGCAAAAAGGAAAAAAAAAAACCCAACCCAACACTTGTTGCTCTGTCTCCATGATCTGTCTACCTCAGTCGGAAGCTTGGTTTGCATTTCTCTTTGTGTTCCCTTCCCGAAGGACTTTGCCCAGGTGGTACCGACTGTGCCTCAATACTGTGAGCATTTGGCTGTAGTTCAGTGGCTTCATCTGAATGAACACATTTCTGATATCAGATGGTATAATAAAGTGAAGTGAGAAAGTAGGAACCGGATCCTGCAGGGTATCTGAGCAGCACTGAGGCTGCTACAGCAGAATTTTTTATTTAAAACTTGAACTTTGGTTTTGAGCTACTTGGAAACAATATTTATTTTAAAAAACGGGCTTTGTTCTTTGAGTGCTTCATGGCCAAATGTGTGCATGGCCTCTGAAAGCAATGTGTATCTCGACTGCATGAGTTGCTGATCTGAAACTCGCTTTACTTTTTCTTCTGTATTATAGACATAACTGTGTTTCTTAAGTAGAGCTGCACGCATTACTTGCAGCTGGAGTGCTGTTGGAAGCTATGTTTGCAATGAGATTATCGGTTTTTAAAATTACTCACTTAAAGCTGCCTTGAAATGAAGAGGCAGAGCTGAGAGCAGCAGCTGCCTGCAGTGCTTCTGTGCTCACAACGCAACCGCAGAGCTTTGTGAGCAGAGGTGACAGAGGTGACAGAGCTCTGCGCATGCTCTGCTCTCAGCCCCAGTCAGGTGTTTTGGTTTCCTTGCAACACTTGTTTGCATGCCTTGCCTTTCTTTCCAAGCCAGTGACTCCAGGAATGTGTCTTTCAGCCTTGAATTAAGCTCAGTGCCGTAGGACCACATTGAAGATGACATCACCTTTGTGCCCCTGCCCTGACGTGGTGCTGCCTGCAGGAGGGGCTGAGCTGCTGCTCTCACAGACGAGGATTCATTTTTTGTCATTCTGTTTCCGTGTCAAACTCATTAAATCGTTAACAGAATGTTAATCATCAAGCACCTTGTGACTTACACATCTGGAGATGGGTTAAAAACAAAAATAATGATCCTATTTGCTCCATATGTGTTGGTGTGACTGTTGACCAGTGTGGTCGTTTGAAGCCTTGATTTGTGCTTCAGCCTTGGTTCTTGGGGCTGCAGGAAAATGTCTGTCGCTCCGTTTCAATGTTTTTGTGACATTAAACACTTTCTTTGCTGTAGCTCTTGAAACCACAGAGGCATCTGTGTGCGTTTGTGTTACTGCTGGCAGAGCTGGGGCTGCCTGGGGACAGCATCCTGTGGCAGCTGGGAAATGGTTCCAGTTTGATTCAGTCTTATTTGGAAGTTTGTCCACTAGTTTTGCCTACACCCCTGACTCTTCATATCACACCGCTGAACTTCTAGTGCTTCTTTGGTGTAAATCCAACCTGCAGCAGAAGCAAGGCACAAAGATGGAGCGTTTTCTCTTTTAAAAGCCAACAACCTGTGCAGCTTTGGTTGCGGCTGCACCATGAGGAAAGCAGGGGGCATGCTTCAAAGCAAAACCAAGAAGTCACAGCCGAGATAACTGACTTCACTGCAGCACGTGCCAGCCAGGAAGCTCTGCAGTATTCTTTGCTGGGAGGTGCTGCAGTTAGCTGGTGCTGTGCCCAAACCCCTGGCCCTGCAGTGTGCCCAGCAGAGGTTGCGACACACAGAGCTCACAGTGCTGGGTGCTGCCAGCACCTTTGTGCTGTGACGCAGCTCAGTCCTCGCTGAGAGATGGGGGAGGAGGTGGTGTTTGGGCAGGCTGTGATGAGTGATGCTGTGGGACTTCAGGTGCAAACAAATCCTCAGAAGTACAGAGAACGCACTGCTGCAATTTGACAAATATAGATATGTTCAGCTTGCAGTAAAACCAGTTCTTCAGCTTCTCTGGGTCTTGGTTTTGTATGTTGCTGTTTACACGGGAGGGGATGTGGTACAGAATTCTCACCAACTCATGGGAGTAGTTTCGTGGCAGAGACTAAGGCTAATGCTGCCCTATGAATCCATCAGCTGACTAAATTCTCCTTGCGTTCTGCTGTTTCAAGTCCAAATCCAGCTGAAGGCAGTAGGACTTTTGCACAAGTGAACGGCAGCTGAGAAGCTTAACCACCAGCAGCAGGCCAGTCTGGTGAGCTGCCTGCTGTGCCTTCACAACAAAGGGTCTGGTCCTGTCCTTCCAAGGAGAATTCACAAGATTTCAGCATCTTCACAAGACTGAGGTCCAGCAGAAGAGCAGCTCAGTCACTGCAGACATAAAGGGAGCAGAGGGCCCAGGGAACAGCCCCCCCTGAGCTCCCTTTGCACTGTCCTTCTGCTCTGCACACTTCCACCATTCCCTACATTCCTTGGATGCATTCCTGATTTACACATTAGTCTGAGCAAAATGGCATAAGGGGGAACCCTACAAATCTGTGAAGAAATCACTGACACAGACTTGGCTCCATGTAGTATGGGCACAAACAACATGTTGTTTGTTCTCATTGTCCCCTCCCAGAGCAAATATAAAAGCTCTGCAGCATAATGAGGAACATTCATTTTCCATTCCAGTTCCAAGATTTATTTCACTGATTTATAAGGCAAATCATTAAGCACCTCTCACCCTCATGCTGAGCTCAGCTTGTCACCGACTGCAGAGTCTTTATATTTGTGTACCGCCAGGAAAACAGCATGTCACAGCCAGGGACTGATTTTCATCTCCAGTGGGAAGAGCTGCAGCCAAAGCAATGCTTCCCCTTTCCTACCTCCCTTCTCACCTTCCCTGCCTGAGGAACAGCTGAGGAAACCCTCCAGCAGCTGGCAGGGTACATCACAACTGCTGCAGTCACAGCACTGAGCAGCAGCAATGGGTGTGCAACCCAGGATCCAGCCAACTGCTGAGCACTGCTTGCTGGAAGTGGCAGCAGCCACTGCTGGATCCTGGGCAGTCAGTTACCAGAAGAGTTACAGCAGGAGATGCTGTAACAGGAAGAATTCCTTTCCTCCTGCCCTTCCTTCTCCACCTCCATCCCCCTCACCTTGAAACTCCCCAGCTGAGGTAGGAGACCTCACTACTGAGGAGCCATGGAACTTTCATTTTCACTGAGCACAACGCAGCACCCAAACACACAAAGCTTGGCAAAAGCTCTGAGTGCTGTGCACACCAGGACTTTGCTGCCCTGCCCACCTGCAGACACCGTGACTGGCAAGCATCTGCCCCATAAACACCATGTTTAAAGAGCAGAGCACACGGAAGACAAACTGTGGCACAGAAATTCCTGGCCATTCAGGTGAGGTGACCATGTGTGTGTGCATGGCACTGTGTTCCCTCCAAAGAGCAGCACTGCTGGCAGTGTCTCCTGTGGGACACAGACAGGGTCAGCAAGGCTACGCCAATAACAGCATCCCTGCAGCACATGCAGACTTCTGACCATGTTTTATCTCATGTTTTCCTGCACCCGTTTCCTGCGTCTGCAGCTGAGCAAAGCATGGCAGCTGAGTGCAGGGCTTTCCAAGCAGCTCTGCTCATCCAAGGAACTGCTCAGCCCCACTGTTCAGGTGTCAGCTCATGCTGTGACACTGGGCACACTTACCTCGTGGAGCTGCAGGAGCTGCCATGGGGCTGGGGATGCCATAAGGGATCACTCCACGTGGGGATTCTTCTCCAGGTGCTGTGGGATGTCCTTGCATGAAGACCCTTTGCAGACACCTGGCTGCTCACCACATCTTCAGAAGTGTCTTTTATTCTCCAGAAGAAGACTACCAGCTCAGTCCATGTTTTTTCTCCCTGGAGGTGTCTGAGATGACTCAGCTCCATGGCTCATGTGGTATTTTGGAGTTTCATAAAACCTTTAATGCCTCTGGCTGTTTAACAGTGAAATTCATGAGCTGCTTTCTTGAGTGCATTTTGTTAAACCCAGAGGTTACATGATTCCTACTGCCTGATTACTCTGTAATGTTCCCGTGGGCTCCCTCAGGGTGCAGGAGATGAGCTTTGCAATGCTGCTCTGAACTTATTTTTAAGATTTTATTCAGATGGTTGCCATGAATTCCCAATGCAGAGAGAACATCCTTCCATCTATTAAACGCAGCTCTCGCCAGCACCAAGTACATCTTTAGCAGAGCACATTTGCATCAACCTCAGCACCCCTCCCTTCCTTAATTAGCTCTGCAGGCACAAGGGCCACAGCTCAACGCCCCTGGTAAGAAAACAAGGCTTTCAATTTAGTGCCTGAAGAGCTGAAGCAGCAGCTCTGATCCAGCAGTGACTCCCACACATTGCGGTGGGCGTTAAATCAAATCCTAAGTGAGCAACTACTTCTAAAATCCCCCCGGCTGCTGCCAAGGCACTGTCACACGGGCAGAATGCGTGTTCTTCCTCTGGCCACTTGCTCTCACCCACACCTGCAATATTTGCTCATCACTCTGGCTCTAGGCAATACAAGTTGTCTTTTTATCCTGAAATCAGGCCCACTCGCTTTTGCTGAGCAGAACATAAGCTACTGCAGCTTCTTCCCCCACACCTCGTGTGCATGGATGGCCAAATGACTTCGGATACAATTCGCAGGCCCTGTTAGCAGCCTGCACCCTCAAAGAGAAGATCGAGGCTCTCGTGTTTTGCACGTTTCACCCCTTTCCTTCCCCTAGGCAGTTATTCTGCATTCACCCGGCCTTAGCTGTATCTGTAATTCATACAGATGCTCCCGCAGGTTTCAGGTCACTGTCCTCTCCTGGGGAAGATTTACCTCCAGCACAGCACTGTGGGCTGCAACATGAGGCTTTGCTGCCTCAGAGACCCCAGACACAGGGAGTTGCTGGGCTCCATCTGTCCCGCAAGATACACATGCAGCTCTGGCTTTCTGCTCACCCCAGGGCTCAGCAGCTAACAGCTCTCCAGGGGTCTGCACAGCAGCTGGGAGGAGATCAGAGCATCAGCGCTTCCATGGCCTCACTCAGGTTGGCTCTGTGTCACTGCTGGAGAACCTGTAGCCATCTTAACTCCTGTGCGACAAGGAGGAAAGGAAAGAAAGAAACCCAGAGACCTGAGCTCAGCTGCTGAGGCCAGTGGCCTGATGCTGTGCTCCATCCCAGCAGCTAAGAATAAAGAACACTGGCCTTCTGAGAGGGAGCTCATACCCAGCACCTCAGTGCCACTCCACGCTGCCAGAAGAAGATGCAACGGCAATGCCCAAAGCATCCCTTGCTCTTGCAGGCAATAGAGAAGCTTGTGAGCCACTACAGTCCAACCATTATCCAAAGTACACAGGGCTGCTGCTATGCATTGAGATGCTCAGTGAAGCTCTTAATCTGGGGTCCAGTTAAATCATTTGTATTGGTACATCAGACTGTGATTTTAAAAGCAAACATCTCTGTATGCAGGTGTGCAGGAATGCTGCCCATGACACAGCCCGAGGACCAGCAGCTGCCTCAGGCTCCGCCACCAGCAACAAAACAATTACAAATGATCAGCATCACAACTGAGACTCACCTGATATCCAGACAAACATCTGCATGACACAAAAGACCAAAAAGGCAAGAGAAACCGGGCTGTGTGGACCCATCCTTTCCCTTCAACGCAAGCATTAACTTCAGTTTATTTCAATCCAGTTCCTTTAGCTCAAATCGCAAAAGAACCACGTTTCTAATTGGTCTCCTAGGAGAGACTGCAGATTTTGCAGCAGCGTCAGCTGGCACTGATGCATTGCCCCCATTCTTCACCCACCTCCAAGACTTCAAATTCTGATTTAATCTAATGAGGTAAGCTGGGGTAAAGCAGCCATTCAGTGAAGCACCAGGGTTGTTGCACGCTGGAGTCCAGCGCCCAGCAAAATGGTGAATTTGACATTAAACACAATCTGTTTTGTTCAGATCAATGGAACTAAGTGTTAATATCCACAGAGCTTCTCTTTGCTAGACACACCATCCACCTGCACACATTACTACAAACACATTTACTGACACTTGGTGCACATTGCAGAACAGCCTTCTGAGTGAGCCCTTCCCAGCCTTCTGCAGGGCACACCACACCACGCTGTTTCTCTGGAAACATGAGCAGGGCTACTGATACTCCTACATAAATATGCAAACTGAGGGCCCACAGCCACAGAACAAATGCTTGTTTGTCAGAGCTGGGGAAGCACCTAATGCTGCGCTCACTGACAATGAAGACAGAGCAGCTGCAACCTGCACTGCCTGCAGTGCTGCTCCCAGGTGAGCTGTGGGCAGGTGCAGCACACGGAGCCACTCTGGGTGCCCTCCTTCTGCAGGTGGGAGGGCTGCCGTGTTACCTTCAGTGAGCTCTGCTTGTACACAACACGGACGATGGCCACCCTTCTGGACAGTGTTACTTCTCAAGTTCCTGCTGCCCAGTGGGTAAACCCAACTGGAAAATGTGATCTGATGTAAAACTAAAACCATTAATTCATGCTCGGGTCGATGCCCCATTCTGGGTGGTTATGAGATATTTAAAGCTTTGTGCAAACCCAGAGGATGCGGATGCCCACAGGCAGAGCTGAATGGCCACAGGCAGCAGGAGAGCAGTCAGCACATGCACAGACAGTGAAAGATCTCTGGGTAATGCCTAGCACCATGGAACAATGGAAATCCATTTTGCCAGGGGCATAATCCCCAGTTTGATATGCAGCCACCTGATTCATGACCTAGGCACACAGCTCAGCCTGAATATTCCTGTCATTGAATACTTAAAGAAAAACAGTTATCCATATTATAAATATCACTGGTTTGGCTCAGCACACAACATCAGTTTGAATGATTTTTGCCAAGGGATTCGTATAAAAGCTCATGAAATTGAATTATTTCCTCCACTTTCTCCACGTACCTTTTCCCACAGCAGAGCTTTTTGCCCGCGTTCAGCACTTCTTGTGCACGCTGACAACTGGAAACTATTTAAAATCAACTCCAGAAGGAGCTGTGTGAAAAATAAACACTTCAGAAGCACCGTGAGGAGTTTGCAAACACGGCATGCAGGAATGAGTTCAGAGGTTGTCATTGTGAGAAGTGCCCATTTCAGCTGGTTCCATCTGATCAGCACCCACCTGGACCACGCGGAGCCAGGAGATGTGCAGGTGGCAACTGCTAAGAAAGAAAATAATTATGCTCTTCCACTGCAACGTACTTCTGTTCTATTGTATATACATGTAAACAGCAGAAATGAGTGTAAGAGTTTCGCTGAAATGATCCACAGTAATCCCTATGGCTTCGTTCAACCTCCAAATCCGAACACCCACATCATTTTTCATTTCGAATACTCAGCCCACCTACAAAAGGAAAATATTTATGCCGTTCTTTTATTGAGATTGTGTCAATCTGGAAACAGATGGACAGACAATAAGAAGGGGAAATACACGCCAGATTAATGGGAGCAAGATGCCCCAGCAGCCATTCCCAAAGTGCAGTTTGCTACACCGCAGGATTTTGTCACCTGGCTTATCCAAGGGGAAAAGCACATCCAGTTGTGCCTAGAGCATCTAAGCACCCGTCAATACTGTGGCACTAACAGGATTGCAAGAGTTCAAACTCAGTGCAGCGAGCGCCCATGGATTCCCAGGAGAACATCACAAATGATCACACACAAAAACGGACAGCCCGTTGTTATTAGAGAGGGATGCTTTTCTCTAGATT